CCCTCAGTCCCCCAAGCTCACGTTTATCAGCCTCGAGGAAGTTGTGAAAAGTTATGAGGAATTTTGCTCTAATTAAAAGAGACGAGACAACCACATGTGATGTTTGTCTATGATAAACCACAGGTGTTTCTCTCACACCTGTTCATTAAGGGGCAGTCTTTCAAATTTATTACATAAGCTACCTCACGAACCTGTAATTAGCACCTGTAACCTGTACTCTCTCTCTAAGTTTCCTCCAGCTTGTAATTTTCAAGCTATCTTAATCTGACATTCATAATTGTGGTGTTTTCGCTACGAGCTTATGATAAACAGACTAACTGTGTGATTACTTCCATAATGAGCTTATAACTACTTTTATCTGTTCGTGGACGACGGCCCCACGGGGGAAAGATTACGAGGCCAGCAATAGAGCCCGGCTGGGGAAATATCCCATAATGTCTGACACACACCAATTACAGAATTGATTAGACTAGCCTAGCCAGGGAAATAGCGATGACTTACTCAAGAGATTATTTCGAGCTAATCGTCACTGTGGAGAATATCAAGAATAGAAGATTGAAAGGATTTAGCAAGCAAGAAACATTACAAAAATACGGATTAGTAGACTGATTTCAGTTCTGTGAATGTACAGGCGATTGTTCTGACTGTAGGATCAGCTTCAGAGGAGAAGATGAAGGATAAGAGGTCTTGGCTGGCAGTCTTATCAGGAATAGTGGTTATACTTCAAGAGTGAGAAAAAACGAGATATATATATATAGAGAAAAAGGGATGTGTTGCCATTCTTATAATCATAATGGAGATAACTTGTTTTTTGTGTTAATTTATGAGAATGCACTCTGGCAGCTGCACAATCAAGACACATTCATCATTAAGAAAGACCTTCATTTCAACTGTGCACGAATAACACACAAATTATCATCGATTTCTACTCCTGTTGTTCCCCCTCTCATTAACATTGTCCGTGTGCTTCTATTGTTCGTACTGAAGCTTGAAGAACAAGAATAGTCCAGCCACAGTAGCGGGCAGGGCCTCGCCTTCCCGAAGATAACAATGGTATCTCTATAATCAATCAACCAAACATCTTGATCCATCCTTATCATGTGTTTTTAAATTTGAAACGTATCTTTTATGATGCATAAATTCAACGACGGATTTATGGTAATTCTGAAATATCATGTCTGCCGCCGTGCCTTTGTTATATATACTAAAAATATCGTAAATAAATCAGAGTGATTTGTTAAACATAACCGTTTTTAGGTTTTTAGTTGTGTAGTAGTTTATTGTTTTTGGTGGTAATAGTTCAGATGAAGTTTTGTTCGTTGGTAAGTAAACTTTGTTTCGACAAATATTTTTGATTTTCAAGAAAAATAAAGACGCAAAATAATCGTAAAAAATACTCATTTATTTCCGTGAATTTTCGTGGTAAGGTTTTAGTGTAGTGGTGCGTGGTAGTGCTGTGGTGCGTTGGTGTGGACAGTTAGTGTAGTGGTGCGTGGTAGTGCTGTGGTGCGTTGGTGTGGACAGTTAGTGTAGTGGTGCGTGGTAGTGCTGTGGTGCGTTGGTGTGGACAGTTAGTGTAGTGGTGCGTGGTAGTGCTGTGGTGCGTTGGTGTGGACAGTTAGTGTAGTGGTGCGTGGTAGTGCTGTGGTGCGTTGGTGTGGACAGTTAGTGTAGTGGTGCGTAGTAGTGCTGGTGTGCGTTGGTGTGGACAGTTAATGTAGTGGTGCGTGGTAGTGCTGGCGTGCGTGGGTGTAGACAGTGTAGTGGTGCGTGGTAGTGCTGTGGTGCGTTGGTGTGGACAGTGGATGGAGAGTCAGACGAAACAACCCGTGAACGATTCAACCTTTAATCACACCCCTGAGGCAATTACTGCTTCAATTCACAGTTTCATTAACGATTTTGACCTCTATTCATCACTAACAAGGTTTTGCAGAAAGAGAGTACCTGGTGATGGGATTACTCCAGCACTGTACCGTGTATCATGGGTAATTGTGAGCAACACTGTCAACACTGTTGATGTTTTCATGGCTGCGATCCTGTTGCATGTTTGGTGTTTTTCACTACACTCTCTCCACCCCACACACTGCTGCCTTCCACTTCTGCTCCCTCTCACTTCAGCCTCCCTCCCACCTCTGCTCCCTCCCACCTCTGCTCCCTCCCACCTCTGCTCCCTCCCACCTCTGTTCCCTCCCTCCTCTGCTCCCTCCCACCTCTGCCTCCTCCAACACCATGGGGTCGGCTATGCACCAGCAGGAAAATTGGATAGTCAAGACTGGTGATGTGATTTACGGCGTCTGGTCCTGGAGGAGCGAATATGATATGTAGGGAGGCTGGCGAGGGTGATAATGGGAGAGAGGAGAGAGAGAGAGAGAGAGAGAGAGAGAGAGAGAGAGAGAGAGAGAGAGAGAGAGAGTAGGATGGCAAGGTAGACACAGCAGACATTCAGACAACCATCCACACCTTCTATGTGTATGGTTAGTGGTCGTGATGTCTGCCTGTGTCCACCCATCTATCTTTCATATTTCTTCCCATTATCTTGGCGCCTTGACATTACACAGTCTTTTGCTTTGGTGGTATTTCTTGCTCCTCTCCTATAGCACCCCTGCTCTCACTCCTACTCATGCCCCCCCCCCCGCTCTCACTCCCACTCGTGCCCCGCCCCGCTCTCACTCCCACTCGTGCCCCCCCCCCCCTGCTCTCACTCCCACTCGTGGCCCCCCCCCCGCTCTTACTCCCACTCGTGCCCTCCCCCGCTCTCATTCCTACTCGTTCCCCCCCCCCGGTCTCACTCCTACTCGTTCCCCCCCCCCTCTCACTCCCACTCGTGCCCTCCCCCGCTCTCACTCCTACTCGTCCCCCCCCCCCCGCTCTCACTTCCACTCCTTGCCCCCCCCCGCTCTCACTCCCACTCGTGCCCCCCCCCCGCTCTCCTCCCACTCGTGGCCCCCCCCCCGCTCTCACTCCCACTCGTGCCCTCCCCCGCTCTCACTCCTACTCGTCCCCCCCCGGTCTCACTCCTACTCGTTCCCCCCCTCTCACTCCTACTCGTTCCCCCCCCCCCCGCTCTCACTCCCACTCGTGCCCTCCCCCGCTCTCACTCCTACTCGTTCCCCCCCCCCCCCCCCCCCCCCCCCGCTCTCACTCCTACTCGTTCTCCCCCCCCCCGCGCTCTCACTTCCACTCGTGGGCCCCCCCCCGCTCTCACTCCCACTTGTGCCCTCCCCCGCTCTCACTCCTACTCGTTCCCCCCCCCCCTCTCTCACTCCCACTCGTGCCCTCCCCCTGCCCCGCTCTCACTCTCACTCGCCCCCTGCCCCGCTCTCACTCCCAATCGCGCCATCTATCAACACAGGAAAACAAGGCTATACGATGAGAGGAGAGGGAGAGAGCAAATAAATTTTAGTGGATATGAGAGAGTGACAGATTGCATGGGAGTGCATGGGTGCAGAGGACGGAGTGAGTGAGAGTGAAGGCGCACCCACCTTTTGAAGCTATTGGTCCCCTGTGGCAATGGCTCCCAACTCCTTATTTTTCCCATATCTACTTTTAAACCAATATATATATATATATATATATATATATATATATATATATATATATATATATATATATATATATATATATATATATATATATATATATATATATATATATATATATATATATATATATATATATATATATATATATATATATATATATATATATATATATATATATATCACAGTTGCTGCATAATCTAACAAAAGGGGTCTTTCACTCAGACATATTGTCTAAACAAAATATTTTTATTTGATGATTTTTTTTTCTACTGAGCGCCTGACCTGACAGTCGTTCGGAAGCATCGCCTTCAAACTCTCATATCGGGATGCGATTTAATTTTGTTGTCTTCGTGGTGGGTCAAAGGTCAAGGTCAGAGAATGACAAACAATCAGCAAATAGAGCACTTCGCGCCTGATTTCTTCTTCCTGTTTTTGTAATCTTGAGAAGAGGGAGATGTATGTGTGGTAATGGGATGGTCAGCTGATGAAAAAAGATGCCAGAGAAGAACTACTTCAACCTGACTGTGATGGAAGCTGTAGACCCACACAAATATCACCATACTTACAATGTAGAGGTTCTGTATTGATGGTTTGTTATAGCATTATATTCCTCACATAAAAAGAGAGTTTCCAGACTGTGGCAAAATGACTAACGTTTTGCAAATATTTATGAAAGAGGGTGAGACAATAACCACTGAACGACAGACCATTATTTATCGTATACATCCACGAATTGACAGTTATGATAAAGAAGTATTGTTCGAAGCTAAGACCAGCATCATGAGGAAACTGGAGCCACAGTCGAGTCACAGAAATATTAGAAAAAACTTCAATAAGAGAGTTCAGAATTAATGGAATATATTAAAGCAAATAGTTGAAACTGAATCAAGGCAAAGTTTTATATGTAAATCTCTTTAGAAAACGAGGGATTTTAGTCCTTAAAATTTAAGTTATAATAATGTTGGAAGGACGGGACTGAAGCTGAAGCTCGACCCTGCAGACACATCTAGGTTTGTGTGTACATACATGTTCTGGCAAAATTATACATAAATTAGGTGAGTACACCATGGTTATGGGGGATTTCAGTGATCAACGCTGCCCCTTGTTCTCAGCATATACATACACATACACATACACTCACACACTCACACTCACTCACACACACACATACACTACATACACACACACACACACACACATACATATACACACACACATACACATACACACACACACACACACACACACACACTACATACACCACACACACACACACACACTCACTCACACCACACACACACACACACACTCACACACACACACATACACACACACTCACACACCACACACACAACACACACACACACACACACACCACACACCACACACACACACACACACACACACACACACACACACACCAGGCTTCCCGAGCAAAAAACATCGCGTGATGGTAAACTATAAGTCTTTATTATGAACCATTCTATCACGGTCCGTGTCTGCTGGCCCCTGGTCCTGACCACGGTCCGTGTCTGCTGGCCCCTGGTCCTGACCACGGTCCGTGTCTGCTGCCCCTTGGTCCTGACCACGGTCCGTGTCTGCTGCCCCCTGGTCCTGACCACGGTCCGTGTCTGCTGGCCCCGGGTCCTGACCACAGTCCGTGTTTGCTGGCCCCTGGTCCTGACCACGGTCCGTGTCTGCTGCCCCCTGGTCCTGACCACGGTCCGTGTCTGCTGCCCCCTGGTCCTGACCACGGTCCGTGTCTGCTGGCCCCTGGTCCTGACCACGGTCCGTGTTTGCTGGCCCCTGGTCCTGACCACGGTCCGTGTCTGCTGGCCCCTGGTCCTGACCACGGTCCGTGTCTGCTGGCCCCTGGTCCTGACCACGGTCTGGGTCTGCTGGCCCCTGGTCCTGACTACGGTCTGTTGTCTGCTGGCTCCACGGTCCTGACACACGGTCCGTGTCTGCTGGCTCCCTGGTCCTGACCACGGTCCGTGTCTGCTGGCCCCCTTGGTCCTGCTTCCACGGTCCGTGTCTGCTGGCCCCTGGTCCTGACCACGGTCAGTGTCTGCTGGCCTCTGGTCCTGCTCCACGGTCCATGTCTGCTGGCCCCTGGTCCTGACCACGGTCAGTGTCTGCTGGCCCCTGGTCCTGACCACGGTCCGTGTCTGCTGGCCCCCCCTGTCCTGACCACGGTCCGTGTCTGCTGGCCCCTGGTCCTGACCACGGTCCGTGTCTGCTGGCTCCCCTGGTCCTGACCACGGTCCGTGTCTGCTGGCCCCCCTGGTCCTGACCACGGTCCGTGTCTGCTGGCCCCTGGTCCTGACCACGGTCCGTGTCTGCTGGCCCCTGGTCCTGACCACGGTCTGTGTCTGCTGGCCCCTGTTCTGATTACGGTCTGTGTCTGCTGGCTCCCTGGTCCTGACCGCGGTCCATGTCTGCTGGCTCCCTGGTCCTGATCACGGTCCGTGTCTGCTGGCCCCCTGGTCCTGCTTCCACGGTTCCGTGTCTGCTGGCCCCTGGTCCTGACCACGGTCAGTGTCTGCTGGCCTCTGGTCCTGCTTCTCACGGTCCGTGTCTGCTGGCTCCCTGGTCCTGACCACGGTCCGTGTCTGCTGGCCCCTTGGTCCTGCTTCCACGGTCCGTGTCTGCTGGCCCCTGGTCCTGACCACGGTCAGTGTATGCTGGCCTCTGGTCCTGCTTCCACGGTCCGTGTCTGCTGGCCCCTGGTCCTGACCACGGTCCGTGTCTGCTGCCCCCTGGTCCTGACCACGGTCCGTGTCTGCTGCCCCCTGGTCCTGACCACGGTCCGTGTCTGCTGGCCCCTGGTCCTGACCACGGTCTGGGTCTGCTGGCTCCCCGGTCCTGACCACGGTCCGTGTCTGCTGGCCCCTGGTCCTGACCACGGTCCGTGTCTGCTGGCCCCTGGTCCTGACCACGGTCCGTGTCTGCTGGCCCCTGGTCCTGACCACGGTCCGTGTCTGCTGGCCCCTGGTCCTGACCACGGTCTGGGTCTGCTGGCTCCCCGGTCCTGACCACGGTCCGTGTCTGCTGGCTCCCCGGTCCTGACCACGGTCCGTGTCTGCTGGCTTCCTGGTCCTGACCACGGTCCGTGTCTGCTGGCCCCTGGTCCTGACCACGGTCCGTGTCTGCTGGCCTCTGGTCCTGCTTCCACGGTCCGTGTCTGCTGGCCCCTGGTCCTGACATCGGTTCGTGTCTGCTGGCCCCCTGGTCCGTGTCTGCTGGCCTCTGGTCCTGCTTCCACGGTCCATGTCTGCTGGCCCCCCTGGTCCTGACCACGGTCCGTGTCAGCTGGCCCCTGGTCCTGACCACAGTCAATGTCTGTTGGCCCCTGGTCCTGACCACGGTCCGTGTCTGCTGGCTCCCTGGTCCTGCTTCCACGGTCCGTGGAAGCAGGTGTGGTATTGTGGGCTCGAACAACAGACATCGCCTGTCACTCCCGTCGTGTCAAGCTGAGTCATTTTCATGACTTTTCAACAGAAACTTTCGCAGAAAAGATCTGCGAAAGTTTATATAAATATTTATGTATTTTTTGTATCCTATTTAATTATTTAGCATTTTCCTGCCAGTAACATGGATATTTTGGGTAAAGAAATAGATAGATAGATGGATAAATAGATAGACAGAGAGGAGGGAGTTCCTGAAGTAATATTTTAGCCCAGGTAAATGGGGGTGTCCCGCTGCTCTCTCTGCCTACCTGCTGATGGTTAATTAACACACCTGTCACGAGCCAATTTACTAATTACTTTGCTAGTACACAAATATCTGTGGCGAATTTGCTCTCTTATTTCTTCAATTTAACTTTGCATTTGGTCATTTTATTTCAATTTGTTAATGTTGCTTCTCTTGAAACGAGTCTACTATATATTTTCACAGAACTGATCATAATTGAAACTAAGGTGTTAGACAATGCTCTACTCTGATTCATTATTTTCTTTGAATATCTTTATAAGTTTATTGCTAAATCTACTTTGACTTATGCCATTTAACAACTATTATGGCTAATGGTCATTGTATGCTTGGTATGAGTTCATAAAATTTACATTTTATTCAGCTACTACATAACTTAGAATGCATGAATGTCTTAGGACACAGCCCCTTGTTTCATCACCTTCAATGGCCATATTTACTGCTTAAAATCTATCGTTAATACCAAGGGTGTATTGAGAAATACATCATTGTTTCTCCAGTGCTTCTTCCTGTATGTACTTATATTAAGAAATATATTATAAACACTAGAAATTATCAAGAAGGTACAGCAAATAAAGTTAATTTAAACTAAGAATAATGCTTGAGTTGTAGTAGCTTCAGCTTCATCCAGCTGTCTGAAATGAAGGTCGACCCTTGCACTCTTGTAAGAGTTCCACCTTGGGCCAGCTGCCTTATCTGGAGGAAGGTTCCTGCACTCTTGTAAGAGTTCCACCTTGGGCCAGCTGCCTTATCTGGAGGAAGGTTCCTGCACTCTTGTAAGAGTTCCACCTTGGACCAGCTGCCTTATCTGGAGGAGGGTTCTTGTACTCTTGTAAGAGTTCCATCTTGGGCCAGCTGCCTTATCTGGAGGACGGTTCTTGCACTCTTGTAAGAGTTCCACCTTGGGCCAGCTGCCTTATCTGGAGGAGGGTTCTTACACTCGTGTAAGAGTTCCAGCTTGGACCAGCTGCCTCACCTGATGGTTCCTCTCCTGCACTCTCTCTCACTAATGGACTCGCGCCAGGAATCCAGCTCAATTAGGCAACTTTTCTTGCCAATTTTAAGTGGTCGTTCACCGAAGTCTTGTGTTTACATTGCTGCGGCTTCAACTCTGTAAATATTTGTCTGAATTAAGTTTCTTTGCTCCTGGTGAATCACTTTATGTTTGAGTGTGTTGTTAGTGCGTGTGTGTGAGCCGGGGAAACTTGAGACTGTCAACATGACCCACGTCCGCACTTTTTTCCTCATATTCAGTTTCACACACTTCCTTGGTTATTACCCTACATCACAACTATGACTCCTGACCTGCTTATAGCTCTTGTCCTGGCCATGACCCCAGACCTGGTCATGATTTTCGTCCTGGTCATGACCCCAGATCTGGCCATGACCCCAGACTCAGTCGTAAGTCCTGACTGTCATGGTCAGGTGTCATACAATACTCTGATGTGACACCAATGAAGTCATTTGACCCGTTTATAGTTCCCGGCCAAGCTATGAGCCCTGAGCTGACCTTGAACCCTTGCCCAAAATAGGACCCCTGATCAAGAATCAGCCGTTGCAGTGGTCGGAGAAGCAAACACAATCCTCTGAATCGAACTGTCCCTGACAATTACAGCCTCTCTGTCCCATACTCGGCGACACCCTCAACGTCCAGACACACAACACACACACAAATACACTCGTCAAACCTACAGACTGCGGGAATGGTTTAACGAATGGTTTCTTCACATAAACTCCAGCAAGTTCAAAATAATTTTTATTTTCAGCATCCAATGATGATGGATGACCGCGGGGTAATATTGGCAGGTTGGTCTTCCTCTTAGCCAATTGAGGGGGAGGGGGGGAGGGGGACTTTTACTTGTGGGGGGGGGGGGGAAAGGGTATCTTGACAAGTAATTTTCCCTTGCTGGTAGATTATTTTTTCCTACCTGAGGCACTTGGGTTGATTTTTGGTCGTGATGGGTCATTTGGACGTTCGTTCTCCCTAGCTGGGAGGACTTTATTGGCAATTAAGTTATTCTCTCACTCACTCTCTCGCGGAATCTCGCAATACTCGGTTGAGTCAATATCCACTGCGTTAAGAATTCATTCAGTGCCTAATTGGAATTACCCTCATGCTCTTGACAACACAGGTATCAACATTTATGGATACAGCTGAGAGATATTAAGATACATATTATCAAGCAGCGGACTACTGTATTACTACACTATATTAAGTAATATCAAATACATTGTAGGAAAAAGTATGTATGATAATCCCACACATTCAGAAGCTCACAATGTGATCGTATATTCCTATTGGTATGCATTAAAAGAGGTTGAAGTATGTAGTTAAAACAATACAGGGAAGTTTGTGTCACAAAATTCGCGAAGAGAACCCCACTCGCCCGCCTGGATCACCTGCATTACCTGCAAATTGTCTCGTAATCAGAATATTAGCAGCAATCCTGGTCGGGGTAAACGGGAGAGGTGTGGGATGAACAGGACAGAGAGGGAACAATTTGGGATAAACAGATGTGGGACATTTGTATTAGGTAAACATGAGGGAGACACGGATTAGTATATAAGGTTTCGCTTGTATGAACCCCCTTGTCGAAGCTCTCTTCTCTCTCTCTATCTCTCTCTCCTCTCTCTCTCTTCTCTCTCTCTCTCTCTCTCTCTCTCTCTCTCTCTCATCTCTCTCTCTCTCTCCTCTCTCTCTCTCTCTCTCTCTCTCTATCTCTCTCTCTCTCTCTCTCTCTGGCTCCAAAAATGGAATACTGTAACACGAATTCACGTTCATTGTTTTCGAGTAAACCATAACAATGCGTGGGTGAACGGCGGGAGTTAACATCAAAACTGAATGGAAAATACATCTACGATATCATTTGAGAATATATAACATTGGCAAAGGGGCTGCCATATAGGCCGATATTTTATACAGGGTGGCACTTGGGTCACGACCCAATTGCCACCCTGTCACGGTCGACGTAATCATTGACAACACTCCTCTTGTACCTGTCTGGGCAGTCACTATTGGCATTGAGGCACATTCCTATGTTTGTTTCTTTGGTGTAGACTGCAGTGTGGAAGCCTCCGCTCCTTTCCATGACTGTTACATCCTGAAAGGGCAGCTTCCCATTGTTCTCCATCTCGTACGTGAAACTCAACACAGAATTCTGCTCAAATGCCTCCTTCAGCTGCTGCAGACATCTGGCATCAGGTACCTGTGTAAAAATGTCGTCAACATACCTGCAGTATATGACGGGTTTCAAGCCCATGTCAACTAAGACCCTCTGCTCGATGGTGCCCATGTAGAAGTTCGCAAACAGGACACCTAGGGGAGAACCCATGGCGATCCCCATCTACTTGCTTATACATGTGCCCATCCGGGCTCACGAAGGGCGCCTCTTTAGTGCAGGCTTGGAGTAGTTTCCTCAGTATGCTTTCTGGCATGTCAAGAGGACTTGACATGCCAGAAGTTCTCATGGGCTTGAAACCGGCCATATACTGCAGGTATGTTGACGACATTTTTACACAGGTACCTGATATATATATAATATATATATATATATATATATATATATATATATATATATATATATATATATATATATATATATATATATATATATATATATATATATATATTAGTGACGGTAACGCATTGGTGTTCGGCTGTTTCAAAAGCTAGGGGTATGGCCTCGTCACATATAGAAACAAATAGAGAAAATCTGGAACTTCGTCTGTGGTAAGGTAAGGGGAAGACACACAACACACAAGTAAATTTAACAATGAGATTTTAATTACGTTAGAAAAGCAAAACATGAATAAAATGGACATAAAATCAATCAATCAAAATAATAAGAATAATCAAATGACAAAATGAAAAGTTACGTTAAGACAAGTGAGTAATAACAAGTGAACAATATACAATCAGATATATAGGTGCAGGAATATTGGCTTTAAGCTGCCACCTCTCTTAGTACACGTAAGCCAGAGCTTAGTCTACCAACGAGACGTGTTAACTTGTTGAAAGCACTGGATATTCTGAGGTCTGTAGGTCGTGTGGCCCCAGACATCAGGTAGTGTGGCGGGTGGAGGGCAGGTGCAACTGGACACGCAGCCAATCAGCGATGAGCAGGCGACTGACAGGTAGTTTGGTGATTCGAGTGGCGGAGGGGGGGAGCAGGTGTTCCTGGTGCTGCATACGTTTGCTCTCTGGCAAACCTTGGTGTTGTATTTGTTGGATATTTTTTCCATATTAGTTGTATAGGGATGTATATAGCGACGAACTTGGGAGGGAAGAGCAGGCTCAATCTCTTGAAGGAGATTATCGTCACAGCATATATATATAATCTTATTGTCTCCTTTATTTAAACAAAAGACACGGTATTCCCTGTTGAATGTTACAAGACTTACATCGCTAATATTTAATATTACTGAATCATTCAGGAGAAAAGAAAGGGATAAAATATTGCCCTCACAGCCAATATTTCCAATATGCCCGACGCGGA